TGATAGTGTCTGCAGCCTGACGGCCATGTTTGGAACCTTAAACCTGCAGCTTTGATTGTGACCTCCTTGCAATCCTGACGTCTATCTCCACACAGGCTGATCTCTGTCACCCTCACAACATCAGACACTATGCTCGTAAAATGCTCACTCTTACTTACAATGAAGGGGGCGGGGGCACCATTAACGACATAAACGGTCAGACCAAACCTGAAGAACAGGATCTGCAAGGCTTCAGTCAGAAGGTCAGACACAACACGGTTCACGTAGCCACAAACGCTCCCTGTCACAGAGGACACCCAGCAGCTCTTCTAAACTAAACATACGTTTAAACTAGACATATGTTTTGGATTCAGTGCTTGATCACAGCTGAAAAAAACGTTGTAATACCACAAATCACTTAGTTGCAATATATATATATATATATATATATATATATATTGCAACTAAGCAAAATTTTGGAAACTGATTTAACTCAACAGAATCTGTTGACAGAACAAAAACTTTAATTTTAAATGCAAATTGGTTAGATATATTTTTTGCTATTTTGCTATAATTACGGTACCACTTGGGTTGCTCTGTCAGCTAAGGGCATGTTTTATAGCCTTTATACTCCAGTTAACGATTAATCAATTACTAAATGAGTTGATTGATCAGGATTAATGGTTTCAGCCCTAATATAATACAGCATTGATGGGATGTATTTGTTAGTTTCTGGCTCACCAAGTTTCAAACAAAGACTTGACAGAAAAACAGCAAGAAGCCGGATTTGCATTTGTTTGTTTGAATTTGGATTTTTGAAAAGCAAACTGCTGTAAAATCTTTAAACGATGAAGCTCCACCTGCTCCAACATTCACTGGCAGACATCTGATTTCTAAAACTAATAAAAATTGCATTTTTCCAATTGTATTATTGACAGTGATTTTGTTGACCTATCATCCTGGTGACATATCAAATCATTGTTTTCAAGTACATTTATACAAGATAGTAAAATGTATGTCTTTTTGTCATGTCACTTTTATCACTTATTTATGGGACATTTCATAGTTCTATCCTTCTAAACTGCATAAATCATATTTAATATCTTTTATTTGTGGTTTAAAAAAACAAAAACAAATCAGCAAACCAAAGTGTTTCTGAAAATCAAACCTTAACCCTTAAACTCCTGAGTTTAATGTCATTCTCCAATCGAAGCATCAGTGACATTTGTACCAGTTTTGAGAAACACGACATAATTAAATAGAAATTGTATTATGCATTAAAAGTTCAGACCTATTTCATTTATTTAAAATAACTAATTGCTCTCAGTACCATTTAGAAAAATAAAAACAGCTTCAAGACAACATAAGTAAAACATGTTAATATATCCAAAGATACTAAAGAATTAGTCTCCAAGACAATGTGTTCATTGCAAAATACAGTTTTTTAAGGCCCATTATTTCAATCAATCAGTCTAACCGATCGCTGATTTTTGCTTCTATTTTTTGAAAATTGTATATATTTTTTTTTCTTCCTCTGTTTACATGATAAAAAAAGAAGTTCAGAAACCATTAGTGACTTGAAATAATTGTATGGCTTCATTGGACTAAACAGTTTCATCAGGGAAAAATATTCACTTTGTGCATCTTTGTTTTAAAGCAGAATGCTCTCTGTTATTTTATTAGTCCATAAAATTAAACCAATACAGTTCAATAATCGGATCCATTCTAAACCCTTAAATGGGCAGAATATTGATGCTCAACATCATGGCAATGCCTACATCCATCATAAAGCTTGGGCCACAAAGCTCAGATGAAAAACAAGCCAGCTGTAGGGTGACATCACATTTACAAGCGAGGTGCTTACTTTCATTACTGCCGCCAGGGGGCGTTCCATTGAACGGTAGCGGTTAGTGAAACGTGACACCAGCAGCAGAAGCAACAGCAGGCCCCCCTCTTGGCACAGAGAACAATGCTGTTCGCCATTAGCACCGAGCTAACGCGCTGTCTGCGGCCAATTAGAAGCAAAAAACGCTTGTGTTCACCACGGCTTGCGTCAGGCGACGCAGTTAAATCCAGAGCAAGGTGTGAACACGCATAGAAAAAGGTCAAACCACAGTCCATTCTGTTGCTACGCAAGTGCGCAGCGACACAGACCTGCTAGCCACGCTAAGCTAATTTTAGCACATGACGACGTACGCTGCAGGGAGCAGCTGTTCAAACACAGAAATGCCAAAGCTGAAAACCTAACGATTGATCCAAAGCTTTACGTGTCTATCCAGAAATAAACTGTTGGTGTTCAGCAGTGGGGAGACGTTAGATTTTAATAAACATAGAGTTGTTTAGTGCGACAGTAGCAATCACGGTATCCACCACGTGGTTGGCGTCCATCTGGACATCAATGCGTCCACTCAACCTCGCTCCTTCAAACAAATCCTATCCATATGGTTTCACCCATTTAAATAAATCGCATTGAATGAAAAAAATGTAAATATAGTTATTGGCTGCCATTTTTTTTTAGCAGATTCCAGCTGTAAGTAGCTAACAGCTAGCATGCTATAACCCCCTCCATACCGCGCGCGCACACATCCACACACGCTGCGGCCACATGAAACAAATCATTCATGCTCATGGCATCGCTGTATCAAAAATAACCATTCATTTCTCGCGGTTACGCACCTGCACAGCCCTCCGATAACATCCTTCTCCGTCCGTTTGAAGTGCTGCAGGGATGTTATCTTCTCTGTCGGCATCCTGACATAGTCCATGCTTTCAAAGCCACCTTCTGTAGTCCGCTTTTACTGTTTTCTCCCCCTTCCTATTCGCGTCCCCGTTTAAACTATTTTGGTTTCTCCTTTGTATCACAACACTCTGAACGCGTCCTTCGCTCTTTGAAACTCCTAAACACCCGATATATGGATTCCAGTCTGAGAACGAGGGAAAGAGAAGCGAAAAGTAAATTCGAGCTGTGTTTCTTTCCACAGCTGATGGGGTTTCCTCTAGCGCGCGCGTGTGTGTGTGTGTGTGTGTTGCTTCCAGCCTCCGCCTACTACGTCCGAGTGTGTGTGTGTGTGTGTGTGTGTGTGTGTGTGCAGCTGATCTGTGTGAGGCGGGAAACAGCTGTTTGGAATCAGAGCTGGTTTTCCGGAAAGCCGAACAAGCAGGGCTCTGTTGTTGAAGCTCTGCAGCAGGGGCTGCAGTTCTGCAAATTAGCCGTCACTGAACAAACAGTACTGCGGATCAGAACCGCACGAGACACACTGCGTGGAAACCGTCTGGGGGACAAAGAGAGAAGCGAAAACAAAGGAGAAGACAGACTTTTAAACTAATTATTAAAAATATGAATAAAAGGTGATTTTAAAAAAAAATATTCTAAAGAAAAATTCGAGTCTTTTAATAATTAAATGTTTTTTTTAATATCAGCTGCAAACTAAATTATAAATGATAAGAGCTTGAAATTATTAGGTGCCCTGCAGTGACATAAATCAGAATTAACTTCCATATACACATATTAAATTAAACTCTTCCATATAGTATACTGAAAAATGTACATAAAGACTAGTGAAAAGCTTTAACATATTCTAGTGAAAACATTTACCTCTTGTATAACTTACTCAAAAGCTCTCATACAAAGTAGTGAGAACTGTTCATATAAATTGGTGAAAAGCTTAGTAAAACGTAAAAGCATAGTTTTGGTAGTTTGTATGAAAGCTTTTTAGTAGTGTATATGAACGCATTTCAGTAGTGTGTATGAAAGCTTTTCAGTAGTGTATATGAAC